GATCAAGTTGAAGCAGCACAACACGATCTGCCACCACAGATAGCGCTTAGCAGCCTACCATCCCTGCCAGAAGTGGAAGATGCGTTGCGAGCGACACAAGCAGATCGGGCCACAGGCTTTGATGCAGTTCCCTCTGGTGTATATCACCGACATGCTGCCTTCTTGGGACGATATTTCTATCAGGTTATCCTGAAGATGTTTGTCTGGGGCACTGAACCTTTACAAGGCAAGGGAGGATTCCTCAAAATGATTCCCAAGAAGCTTGGCGCGATAGAAGCCAAACATTTCCGAGGGATTTTACTGCTGCCGACCCTCGCCAAACGTGTCCACGCAATCACCAGGGCACGATTGATGGCCCAAGCAGGTTGCCGACGTGATCCGGCTCAACTTGGTGGCTATGCAGAACAACAAGTAGCCTTCGGCGCCCAGACCCTTCGAGCTCTGACCAATATCTTTTCGGCGCAGGGCATGAGTTCAGCAGTGCTCTTCGTCGATTTGACGACAGCTTTCCACCATTTAGTTCGCCAATTGGTTACGGGAGTTGCGGCACAAGATGATTGGCGCTGTGTTCTCCATGCATTGCACACAGCCGGAACACCGCTTGAAGCCAGTCGAGCAGGCGCCGATCTTGTCAGCATCCTGGACAAGCTCAACGTCGACCCCGTCCTCTGTAGGCTCCTCAAGGACATCCATGCGAGCACATGGTACACTTTGACTGGTGGAGATTTGGTCAAGACGATGCGAGGGACGCGACCAGGCTCCCCGCTGGCTGATGCAGTTTTCCATCTTTTGATGACTGATGTTGCCCAAGAGCTCAGACAATGGCTTACGAGCAATATCTACATGCAGGAGACCTTTGAACGGATGGGACTAGATCCTGTTTTCGTCATTTGGTCTGATGACTTTGCCATCCCTATCGCTACACCGTCAGCTGACCTATTGGTTGGAAGCGTCATCGAGCTCACCAAGTACGTCCATGGGCTTTTCACAGCGCGCGGATTCAAGGTCAATTTTGAAGCAGGCAAGACGAGCGCTGTGCTGACCTTTGTCGGACCGAAGGCACCAGAAATGCGGAAGACTCATTTGTTAACCGCCAAGCCAGGTGTCGAGATTGAGTTGAGCGAAGGGTGCCAAACCTGGATACATTTCAGCATGAGATACAAGCACTTGGGCACTTTCTTCTCGTCCAGCCATTCCTTTGAACCTGAACTTTGCCAACGCATTGGGACAGCCAAAGCCGCTTTCCAGCAGCTCTACAGACCGGTTTTGGGCAATCGTCATTATCCGTTGCAGCTACGGTTGAGGTTCTTCAAAGCACTGGTTTGTTCGAAGCTTTTCTTTGGACTCGGCGCCTGGACTACACCAACTTTGGCACAGTTGGGTAGATTGAGGACGGCCTTCAATGGGATGCTGCGGAAGATATGCCGAACCAGAATCGAGGAGCAGATTAGCAATGGCCAGTTGCTGCAGTTCACGCAATCGTTGGACGTGCGACTACGATTGGCAGTTGACAGGCTTCTTTATGCTAAGAAGCTATTTCAAGTTGGGCCTTCATACCTCCAGCAGCTGGTCCATTTGGAACGTCAACATTGTGGAGATCAAGCCTGGCTCTGTGGTCTTCGAGCTGATTTGCAATGGCTTCAACAAGTACTTCCCCAAAGTGTGCCAGGCGAGATTGAGGATGACCTCACGGACATAATCGATTTCTGGCAACAAGGAGCACACCAATGGAAAAGCACTGTCAAGCGAGCTGCCAGGAGACACATGTTACAGGATGAAATCATGCTGGACGTGCAATGCTTCCACAAGACAATCCTGCGGAACCTCCGCCTTGCAGGAGCCACCTTTGTTCCTGATGAAGATCAGACTTTGGAGGATCGCAAGGAGCTTTGCCCTTGTTTTTGTGGCCGCGCCTTCACTACACCTCAAGGACTAGCTCTTCACCGACGCAAGACACATGGCATACATGCTCCTGAATACCAATACACGACTGGGGCTACGTGCCCAGCGTGTCTACAGTATTTTTGGACCAGCAATCGCTTGGCCATGCACCTGGCCTATGCCCCGCGGGATGGCAGTGTCAATCGTTGCTTCGACCTCCTTGCGAGAGCGCAGTTTGCAGGCGGCTTTTTTGCCCAAATGGCGCCACCATCACATGCTCAGGCGGTTCGACTTGATGCAGTCCGAACGGAAGGTCCGGAACTACTTCTTCAAGATCATCGTTTTTACCAGATTGATGAGCTGACAGTGGAGATTGATGCTCTCGCTGCCCTTGTGAATGATTTCCCTGCCCCAGAGGATCATGTCCTGCAAGGGATGAGAATTGGTGATGCCCTCACGACCTTTACTACACACTGGGTGAGGCGACGTCAGCGCCGGGGGCATGATGAAGTGCCCGACATTGATATTCTGGATGGGTGGATTCGACTCTTGGATGTGTATGGCAATGACTATGAAGAGTGGGTTGCCTTCGTATTCCAACAATGGGGCGAGCACCTCTTGCCGGACATCATCGAGGACCTCATGGACGGAGAGATCGAGTACGTGCTGGACGAGCAGTTCATGGAGATGGCGGAGCTCTTCCCGCGCACGGAGCGTGTGCGCCGGCTGTCTCGCCTGCGCACCCGCAGACATCAGCTGAGCATTGAGGTGCAACAGCCGTCTGTGCCTCATCGCCCTGTGCGTAGAGGCACGGCCAATAGCAAAGAAAGAGCTGAGACCCAGCATCGGGTTCCCAGCCCCTTTCATGAGCAGCCACAGTGGCAGCAGAACTTCCGATTGATTCAATGGGAAGTTGCCCCCTGCTGTGCGACCCTCCCTACAATCCAATGGCCTGAAGGAGACCAGAGCAGACCATGCTTGCTAGAAATTCATTTGTTTTCTGGCAGAAGGCGCGAAGGTGATCTACATTGGCATCTTCAAACTTGGGCTGAGAGGTTGGGAATTCGTATCCTGGTATTGTCGATGGACACGGCCGTTTCGCCATGGTATGGCGACCTGTGGCACACGTCGACTGCTTGAAAACAGGTCGAGCAGTGCTACAACCAAGGCCTCGTTGCCATCACAATGGTTGGCAGCCCTTGTGAGACGTTTTCTGAGGCACGTTTCACTCGTCCTCCACCAGGGGACCAGTCGAGATGGCCACGACCCCTACGCTCAGCCGACCACTTCTTTGGGTTGCCGAGCATTTCAAATCGAGAATTGCGGCAAGCACACGTTGGTACTAACTTCTATCTCCAAGGGATGCAGGCGCTGGGCAGTCACATCGCACATGGCGGGCTCTACATCAGTGAGCATCCGGGCATGCCTACGGAACCATCACGGCCCACCATTTGGCGTGCGCCTCTGACAGAGCTTATGAGGAAACATCCGGAGGTTCGCTTTCATCATATCAATCAATGGAGATGGGGGGCGGAAGCCATCAAACCCACTGGCTTACTAGCTCACCGGTTGCCCAAACTACTCGGGTCTCTCTACTCCTGTAGTCTACCGGACGTCCAGAAGCCGTCAGTTGCCGCGATAGGCAAATCTCCGAATGGAGAATTCCGTACGGCCAGACTCAAAGAGTACCCTGCAGCGCTCTCCGCCGCACTGGCAGCGGCATTTGGCGAACAAGTGCGAGCAGACTTAAGAGCCGGGCAACTGCAACCAGCTAAAGACTGGGAATCAATCCCTGCCGGCACTGAACTCCGCGATTGGATCAGAGCCACTGCAGAAGCCAGTGCTACTATCAGGCATGATGCCGTGATTCTACCTGATTACCAACCGCGTTGAGAGCCCAGGGATAATTTTCAGACACTGAATGTGTCGCATTTTCCAATTAGAGAGCTTGCAAGGCAGCAAGGCGACAGGCCTTTACCGCATGGAAATGGAAATGGAAAAAAAATGGAGCCCCCCCAAAAGAATCCAAGTGGAAGTGTTCTAAAATTGGGGGTACCCCAAAATGGATGGTTGGTAATCGGTGATCCTCCTAAAATGCATGATGTTGGGGTACCCCTATTTTAGGAAACCACCAAGCGTGTTTCATGGTTTATCATGCTTCATCAGCATTTGTTCACCATTAAGATAGGAAGTTTTGGGGCATTCCTCATAGACAAACTTAGTTTTGGGGGAGATTCAGCCAAGCTTGCTAGAGAGAATGGTATGGTTAGTAAAGTAACCAACAAAAGATTATCACATATTCACAAACTTTGGGGAACACATGATAGAATGAAGGTTTTGAAGGTGGTGAGAAGTGGCATTGAACATAAACAATGGCAGATGGAGAGTAATTAAATGTAATTAATTTGGGCGAGGTTCGATAAATCAGTGATCATGCTAGACAAAGGTTGCCAGCAACCATGCAAAACACGTGCAACCATGGCTGGTTGGTGGTTGTTTATTGTGTTGTAACCCTCTGGAAAATATATACCCTCTGGTTATTTAACATAGCCATGGTATAGATGGCCCATAGAAATAGATGGTGTACCGTTCTTAATAGCATGGTGGATCTTTCCATGGCTATGTCAGCCATAACCAGAGGGTAAGTCCCTTTTGGATCATCATCTCTTTTGGATCATTCTCGACCAGATTTTTCATGGGAGAACCAAACCAGCAAGGCTGGTCACGTCGACGTTCCTGTGAGATGAAGCGCGCAGCATCTGCTGCGGAGATGTGAATCTGTCCAAAAGAAAACATGGAAAATCAATGAACATCCTTTTTTGCCCCAAAATGGTGACCAACAGGAACATACCCTCTGGTAAACTAACATAACTATGGAAAGATCCACCATTTTTAATGGGAAAAATCACTATAAATGGCCATTTTCAATAGCTATGTTAGTTTAACAGAGGGTATTGTCTATGAAAAGTTCTTGGGAAAGTCAAGAATCGTAGCTCCAACAACGGCTCCAAAAATAGCTCTGAACTGCTCCCTCAAAAAACATTTTTTAATGGCTAAATCAACGATTTCTAAATGGCTAGTTTCAATAGCTACGTATGTTAAATTACCGATGGGTATTCGCATTGGCAGCAACGCCGAGCTCTTTTCCGCCTCATCCGTGCCACCAACGTAGCAACCTGTCCTTGAGCCCGTCAAAGGAAACTTCCGGGCGGGCGTCGATGTGGATGGACACGGGATGGGTGGCACTTTGCTGACCATCATAGAAATCCACGACATATCCTTGGCAGTGGCTATAGTGCGGCTTGGACTTGAGCTGAAGATGGACATGGGAATTATTCAGATCCAAGGTCTGCTAATTTGAGAATTCAGGAGGATCTTTCAGAATCTTTCATTTTCGTATGGTGTCCTATGTGATTTCCCCATTGTGGCGTGCCGTTTATATACAATGATTGCAAGTTCGGGAACGATATAGCATCAGAATTACTAAAATATCAAAATATGGGAATTAAGACAGAACGCAACTAGTTTGAACCTGAAACTCATCTGCCAAATGATTCTCCCCATTTAAAAAACACATCACCAAACCTATGGTCATTCTGGCATCTACCAGGATTGTAACCCAACGTTTGATCACCCCCCGGGTCCTTCAGGGTTTCCGGGTGGAACCCAAAAGAATGCCAGGAAACTGCATTTTTTTTATGGTACTTCAAGTGGCCAAATATTCAATGGATTTCCCATGCCTGAATATAATACCCTCACATTAGATAGATTTTTTTTATTTATTATTTACACATGCTAATGCTAATTTTACATACATGCATATATTAATCATATATTACAAACATGTATGCACATGTGAATATATATATAATTATATATATAATTATATATATAATTAAATATATATATATATAATTATATATATAATTATATATATAATTATATATATATATATATATATATTATGTCAATGTATATTGAGGCAACCAGCCTGAAACCCGGTCTCGTTTGCAGCCGGGGATCTAACATGCTTGCCGCACCTGTCCACATGCCAGTCATGACGATCAAAGGGCAATGTCCGACCAAAGAGGCTGCCCAAGCGCGCCTGAAGTGTAGAAAAAGTGGAATCCTCATGGGTCACGATACAATGACCATATACGGCTATATTAATAAGTTATATGTGCGAAACACACACAAACATATGTATATATAATATATATATATATTATATATTTATATATATGTGCACATGTATAAACGTATAATCAATTATATATTCATACAATTACATACATGCATACATAATAAAATATCATAGTACTAGACTATACTGTAGTATAATCATCAGGAGTATCTGGTTCCAGGCGCCCTCTATCATGGCCATGGGTCCAAGCTCCTGCGAAGGGTTACCTCAAATACAACTTTAAATTCTGCAATAATATATATATAATATTACTATATATTCACTATATATAAGAAATATAATCAAATATAATGGAGATACGGTATGATGGATTTCCGTTTTTTCTCTCGGATCTGTTGCAATCACATTGTGCCTGGTCGCCATTCATGTCCATTCACACCAACCATTTACATGAAATCATGAAATCTGCCAGTTTTTTTCTGCCAAAACAAAAATCAAACACATGATGTGTGGGGTCTCCCATGGTGTCTCCGCCCGCCTTGGGTGTCAGTTCTCCAGGTCTCCCCAAAAAGCGAATCAGCTTCGGCTCCGCACAGTCCTCATGGTGTAGCCACTCATACTTCAGGATATCCTCAAGGCACATGGCACGGCGTCCGCAGGTTGCAGCTCGGGTGTTTGCCATGTTGAATCAACAGAAAAACTCGGGTTGCTGTTGGCTTTCGGATGTGCAAAACCACCACTAACACCAAGAGACTAAACAGTGTATTTGAGATTTTTGTCCATCACTTTGGGAACAAATAGACAAATAGATATTTCATGATATTATTTCAACAGCAGCATCATGGACAAGGGAAAACACAAAATGGATCAAAATGGTACAAGCCCAAGCATCTTGCCAGGTCCTCTCATTCACAGCATTATGGATAGCAATGACCATACTCATGTCGTTGGGGTTCAACTGGTGTCCCTTGGCAGTGGCTGAAGCATAGAACTGCTTCTCTGAAGGGTACCTGATGTGCAGAAGCAGTGACTCGGGAAAGCAACCAATGATTCAATGGGTGCAAGGCCTGACAGTGTGAAAAACGCAAGCAATCACAAACGGAGAAAACATGCAAATGTATGCTGCAAATGCATGCCAACATGCATATGCTATACATATACATACGCATTACACACACACATATATATATACAGAAACAGCATTTTTGGGTATACATATGATAAAACCTTTATGTAAAACCGTTTCTCAAAAAATATATATATATGTTTAAAAAAAACAGAAGCAATATTATATGCAAATATGACAACTATGATTTCTCATCTGGCGTTTACGTCGAGATAAGGCAGCCAAGTGACAGAAAATTGGAACCGTCTGCCTTGGAACTGCTGAAGAGCCCAAGCATTCCCCAATGACTCAGCTGGTTGGTGTTGAGAATTCTCATCCCAATCCTCTCAAATCCCCACTTCAAGTCCCGTTGATGGTTTGTCATCATCCACCTAGACCCTCCAAATACTGGTAAAACAAGGTAAAACAAAGTAAAACACGGTAAAAGAAGGTAAAACATGGTAAAACGACCAAAATGATGGGGTAAACACACACCATTCTGTGGGTACAGTCCCTCCTCCGGGTCTGGGCAGGTCCAGGTCGCAGATGGTATCGTCGACCTCTCCCTCTCCCCACTCAGAGGTTCAGCTTTCGTTGAGGACTCAGCTTGGTCATGAGGGACTTTTGCTTGGTCCTGGGCGAATATGGCTGAACACCTGGGGAAGAACCACGGAAAAACCATGGAAAAAGCATGAAAAAACCTGACAAAAATGAAAAAAATAAAAACAAAACAGAAAAAAACATGGAAAAACACATCCTTGTCCCATGAATATTGCCATAAACTGGGCTGTTTTTTGTGGTTGGAGGGGAGAAGGAGTCACCAACCCATGTGGCCCAACAAAACCATGCAAAAGCACATGAGTATCCCATGTTCATCTCATATTTATCCCCTTTTATCCGATGTTTAACCCATATGTTCATGTTCATCCAGTGTTTATCCCAGATTTTACCACATGTTTATCCAATGTTTGTCCTTTTGACTTGTTCCCCTAGCTCCACCCCGACATGCGGAGACCATGCGGACTGCGAAAAAATCATGGCTCCCTCCGGGCCTCGGCTTTCGTATCTCCATAGCCCAAAGGACAGGTGGACATTTTGCGGAGCTTGAGCCCAGATTTCGCTGTGAAGCTGAAAAATCTAAGCCATACTGTGGATATTTCATGATATTTCCACTGTATACCTCCATGAGAAAACCCGAAACAAAAAGAGCATACCTTTGAAATATCAATGGATACATTTCAACAAATGCGGAGAATAAAACATGCGGAATACCGTATGAACTTTCCATTGGCCAAAAGAGAGGAGCGAAAAGAAGACATTCAGCAGGTTCAACAGCATTGGCTATCAATGGCGTGCCTAGGCTTGAGAAAATGTATGGACTTTTTTGTCTGGCTGCAATGTCACCTATTGTCTGAACATAAAAACACGCCAACTAATGAATAAAAACATGTTGCTATTTAGAACCAACTGATCATGTTCTATGTATTGGCGTTCATCTTTGACCGTTGGGTGCATCACTACTAATAATTGACTAAGGTACATCATCAGGGATCAATCATCCCACATGCATGGAGAGCAACAATCACCCATTTGCTTACCCATATGGTTCACATTTATGGACAACAGTAATTCACTGACCTGGCCATTTTGGTGCAGCTGCCCTGAAAAAAACGATCTTTTCTGGTCGCATCACAGTGAGGTCATTGCAATGTACCCATATATCCAATTATACCATATATACATATGCATACACATTGTGTCGATTCATATATATATATATATACATATATAGTATGTAAACACCTAAATACATAGTGCAATATATAGATATAGCGAGACGCTGTTACATTATCATGATTCATCATGAATCATCTCAATTTTGTTTGGTTGACACAGTTGACACACTTGACATTCTGGGGCACAGGTTTCCGGACGAATCTGAGCGAAAATCTCTGGGACATTCTTCTTGGGGATCAAAGGCCCTTGGAATCCAAGGCATTTTGAAAAATTCAGATGGCCCAGGTCGCCTAGGATGGGTTGATCCCTGTTTTTCTTGTAAGTTTGTGCTGGGAGATCCAAAACTAATAGGTGGCCCATCAAGTAACAGATGGATGTTCTGGTGAAGCCTAAAGACCTATAAGGGCGACAGGCGCCGTCCAAACATATGAATGGCGGGCAAAATTACTTGTTCATTTTGATGCCATGCGCAAATTAGGGTCGTCCCCTATCGGTAGTGAGGATTTCTGCGCTCACAGACTTTGAGGCGACTCATGCAAAACAGGGGTATCGGCACAGGGTTGTCCCCTATCGGTAATGACGGGCTTGCCCCCTCAGCAACGCGAAGGCGAAGCAAAACATAATTGGTATGAATTACAATCATTTTGTCGGTTACTTATACGAGGACACTTTTCAATTTCAAAAACGTGGGGAGACAAATGTGAACACATGAAAATACGTAGGAAAATCTCCTAACCCTTGATGTTCACATATTTTCACGCGGCAATAGCCACTTCACAAGAGACGCATCCCAATCTTCCCATGGCGCACGTGCGGTGGAGGCTAACATGGTGTTACCTTGGGACCGGTTTCCTATGTGGTCCATGCAGGTCACGATTCGGAAAGGAAAGGGGTACAACGACAAGAATTCATCTCCAATCTTAAATATATCCCATATGCTCCATGTATGGTATATATTTACCTAAATTTGGGTGATTTATGTTGGCAAATCATATGCGAACCATGGTGCTGGTATATATTTACCTACAAAACTGGGTGATTTTGTTCGGGCAAATGTTGGTAAATATTCCAGCACCATGGAGCATATGGGTATAGATACATTAGGATACATTCGGTATTCTCTTGTTGAGCTTGGTGAGTGTTCGTTCCACATGTGTGTAGAAAGAGATTAATGTGCTAAAGTACCCAGCCAGGGTTGATCCAGACTTGGGATACTTGGGAAGATCACCAACTTGGGTAGATTCTAGATCACCATGATACCCTAAAATTGGATGAGAGAGAGAGAGAGATATACATGTACAACAGTGTATATACACACAGATACAAATGTATATATATATATACACATATACCTTTGTGCAATTTCAGTTGGTAATGAATAATCAGCCCATCTTCGTTTTTGAGAGGCTGGCAGGTCGGACAACCGGTGAGTTCTTTCACCGTTTATTTCACACATCTCTCTGTGCTTAGTGTCTAACACATCTTGGTACCAATGGAGTTGCAACCGTTGCAGCAATTGTCCCAACTAATTATTTGGAACTCCAGTCTTGGTTCATGCTATCGAACAAACATTTTATTACAAAGCAGGCAGTTGGTGGCGGTGCCCACGTATTCCGCTTTGACTTATGTAGTTTCGGAGGTAAATATCGGTACGTTTAGGAAAAAATATATACGTCTGGCATGTCGGACATAAGTTAGTGTAATACCCATATGCGAACCATGGTGCTGGAATATTTGCCAACATTTACCCGAACAAAATCAACCAGTTATGTTGGTACATATACCAGCACCATGGTTCGCACATGGGATACAGTAAGAGGACAATGTCATCCCTCCGCTTCCCTTTTGCGCATTCCCCCTTTTGTAAACGCAACATTTAGGAAGTCATCCCTTTGAAGTCTCTTTGATGTTCCGCCAAATGTGAACCAAAAAAACAAATTGCTGAAGATTTTGCTCACCGAATTTAGGCAACATGCCTGGATGTAACTTGTTGATCTCAACATTAATAGCTGAATATGAACATGTAGAGCAAGTATTCCCTTGATAGCCAAGAACTATAGCCAGTATAAACACCTACACAAATCCCGGCAGCATTAGTATAGAGCAACTATTAATCATAGTGGGTATGACATGGTATGACTACCAACCAATTAGTTAGTACAGTTAGTTCACTCCTGCAGTTGAAAATCCAACGTTTACCAGCCAGTTTCCCCTGCCCGGATGCTGATCTCAAACTTTGCCGAGAAAATTGCCTTAGAGCTGGGGCGGGAAGGCCTTTTTGGACCATCCGGGCCTGTCGCCTGAAAAATGGATCAACATTGTGTGTTTACCCCATGATCTGAGTACTTTTTCCATGGTTTTTGGTATTTGGAAGGTCTAGTCTATGATATATTATATGTATAATATATTATACATTAATTATATAACATCAATGATATGTATCTATGAGTCTAGGTCGGTATATGCTTATGAATTGTTGATCTGTTCATTAATTCATATCCGATTGGTGATGCACTCAAAAGGGGATTCTTGTATTGCTGGGATACCATGGTTCTTCCGCCCATATGTTCTATGGCTTTCCTGCAGGCCTTCTCCAAACCAAGTCAGGGAAACTAATACTCAGTTCTGCCACGTGTATCATATATGTGAATATATATATAATTTATTTCAAACCTTAGTCTCTTAAATTTGGATTCCTGTTGATTTCATATGTCCAGGGAAAGAACTATGGAAAGAACTATGTAGCAATCCATGGAAATAAGGGGTGTTTCCACTAAAAATGTCACCCAATGAAGAAACCCACCACTTTGAAAGAAAAACGCATTGCTCCAAGTTCTTGGACAAAAAACCTTTCAACATCAAGGTAGATGTTACATACAAACTTCGTATTTGAAAATATTGGTCCGTAAGTTGGAAAGGAAAACAGTATACAACAATATACAACATCTGTGTAATTCGGGGCCCCATAATTCTTCAAAAAGGAGAACACCAAAGAATGCATGTGCGCAAGCTCCAACTAGAAAAAAAAACTCATAAAAACAATATTACGATGTGACCCTGTATACTGTAAAATTGGTTAACTAGTGCGTTGATGAGTGTATGTATGGCTGTGTGCTCATGTGCATGGATGCACTGCAAATGCAAATCCACAGTTTTTAAGTATTGTTTTCGGTGCTGCGAAGACCACGGTAAAACTTAGGTAAAACATGGTGAAACAGATTTATAAACTGCAAACGGAATCCTACGTATTTGTAGCAGATCAAAGATGTGTTACTGTATTTCTGTCGCTACGTTGTTGTGCATTGGTCCGTAGCAGTGTTGCAGTAACAGATTACAATCATTATAAATATGTCATTTTATCCAAATACGACGCTTAAACTTTATTGTTGCGTTTTATACAAGCAAACCCCGTCGATATACTTCCAAACTTTCAAACATACACGAACAAACAAGAACATATAATTCATCTAAAAACTCAAACAGTCTTATATAAATCATAAATACAAAGCAAGTAAAGTAAAGCACACATCAAAAATATACTTATAAAGTTAAACAGTTGAAGTCAAATCGAGAAGTAAAGTCAAAGTTATGTTACAAGTTAAAGGTTCTAAGTTTTAGTTATAAGTTGTAAGTTCAAAGTTAAAAGGTTACAAAGTTATAAGTTACACAGTTTTTATTGTCAAGTCATAACTAGAAGCTCTAAGTTGTAAATTAACAGTTATAACAATGTGTTTCAATTTAAAAACAGTTTTTAAACCTTATAAATTGATTTATTGAAGTTTGATAGTCAAGAGTTATGGATTATGAGTTGTATTTTACAAAGTAGCTATAAGCTACAAGTGTGTATATTTGGTTTTATCAAGTTATATACAAGTATAAAAGTAAGTTAACATATAAGCCATTATTTGGGGTTTGCAGAACGGTTCGGAACGGTTCCGGAGATTTCCCCAGAACGGTTCGGAACGGTTCCGGATACTTCCAAAACCTCAGAACTATTTAGAACTATTTAGAACGGTTCCGGAACGGTTCCGGATTCAAAGCCTATAGACCCCAGAACGGTTCGGAACGGTTCCGGAGACCTCCATATAATAGCATATGTTAACTTGTATAATAGCATATTTTGACTATAATTATTTAACTTTAATACATAGAGTTTGAACAAATAAACACATACTAGTACCATAAGCAATGATGATTCGACACAAGCGATACTTTCAAACGGATATTTCAATACAAACTACACAGTTGTATGATTTTGTTAGAACAGATTCCACAGAACAGTTTTCAAGACAGGTAAGATTTTGAATTGGGCCACGCCTTCCATGAACAAACAGCTGAGAAACTTCCAGCCTTTTGTAGTCTACATCCAGTTTCACCTTCTCCCT